TTTAGCTCAGCGGCATGAACACCTGCCTTGCAAGCAGGTGGTCGTGAGTTCGATCCTTGGTACCGATAAAAATGAAAAAAAAAAAAAAAAGAAACTAATGGTAAGGTGTCTTTTACCATCATATTTTTTTAAAAAGTCATAAAAGTGATTGTAGACTATTACATCACACCAACCCTTCTGCCAAAAATAACTGGCAGAACTGTTTGAAATTGCTGCGAGCTACCAAGATAGATCCTAGAAAATCAAGATGCTAGAAAAGGAGGGAGCTTATTTATAGGAACTCAATCATTTGAGACCACTTTCCCCCTAAAGAGATATTCTGAATTTCTGGTGCAGTGACTGTGAGACTGAGAATTTAAGTAGAAATTTTGCTAGACCCTGTGATTGGGGAGTTAAAAAATCAGATTTCATGACACATAAGGATAAGAAACTCTAGTCAATATCAAGGGCTTTTGTTTGAGATGCTGAAGGGAGACACTCTAGCAGTAATGAAGAGCTGGAAATACACTGGCTTTCACAAATGCTGAGGCCCAGTTGCAGCCAATCTTTCTCTCTCTCTCTCTCTCTCTCTCTCTCTCTCTCTCTCTCTCTCTGTCTGTCTCTTTGGATTAAGGTCTGAAAGGTGAGCAGAAGGATCAAGAATTTGAGGCCAACATGTACTACATAGAGAGTTCAGAGCAGCCTGGATTACATAGAAATCCTGTCTCAAAAAAAAATGTTAATTGAGAACCAAATGCCAACCCACTTACACTAGATGTTTGGCAGGAGCAAATGTAAGTTATCTTTGGAAGAAAATGACATCATCCAGAAACTGAAATTGTCTTGGAAATTTTCATACCCGGTGCTCAGAATTCTTTTCTGTTTTGTCTTTTTTTAAAGATAAGATCTTGCTATATTGTTCAGTCTGGCCTTGAACTCACTATGCAGCCCATGCTGACTTTGAACTCCTGGCAGTCCTCCTGCCTCAGCCTTTTAGATGCTAGGATTAAAACCACGAGCCACCAAGCCTGGCCGGATTCATTTTAAAAAGACATTTGCTTTTATAAGAAGTTTTTATATATCTTGGACACAAAGTCTTTGTTAAAACCTTTTATTTATTACCATTTATGTGGTTACAAACATCTCTCAATTTGTGACTGTTTTTCTTTTGTGACAGGGTCTCCCTTTGTAATTCAAGCTGGCTTTGAATTTACTATGTGGCCCAGCCTGGTCTCAAACTGACACCAATCCTCTTACCTTAGCCTCCCAGAGATCTTAGGCATCTGGCTCTCTTTAGTCTTATGGAAAATAAAGATTCTTAATTTCAGTGTAAATAAAAATATCAAGCAGAGCGTGGTGGCACATGGATGTAGTCTGAGCACGTGGGCAGGCAGAGGCAGGAAGATCATAAATTCAAGTCCAGCCTGGGCAATTTAGCAACGTAGTTAGTGAAAAGGAGAGATTTAGCTCAGTGTGAAGGCCTTGGATTCATCACCTAGTGCTATAAAAATTAATTAATTTAAAAATCAGCCTTTTTCTTTATGGTTATTGCTTTTGTATCTTTAGAAATCTTCTTGTAACCTAAACTCATAAATAATGCATTCCCGCACTGTCCTCTTTTTAAGAAGACAGTTTTGCATCCTGTTTTTATTTCAGTCAGCCTGAAATTAAATTCAGTGAAAGATGGAACAGTAATTCAATCATTTTGTTTCCCATATGTTGTACCATTTGTCTCAGCTCTTCTTATTATTGGTTTTAGTTTCCTTTGCCTACTTTGCCTGGCATATAGCAGACTGTGAGTGAATTAGAATAAAGGATATGTTTTGATAGTGTGAAACTTTCTGTGGGTTTCTTATTATTTTCATAATGTGTTATCTGATTTACTAATATGCTGTTATTTATTCTGTATACATTATGTTCTCCTTATGGGGTAAATACCTTTCTTTTATTACTGAAATTCTGTTGACACTAGGTGAATATTTGTTGAATTTCCTTCCATCTGTTTTAAGGGAGATCCCGTGCCCCCCAGGCTTTTAACTGTAGTCATCTTTACACTTACAAGACTATTTGATACATTTTCTGTAGCTCTCTGTCTGGGACTGTATTTCTTAACTGTAACATTAGAATCAGCTCGAGAGATTGTCGGTCCCATTCCCAATCCAATAAATTGGTATTTTAAAAAATTTCTTGGGTAACGTTTATGTGTAGTTCAGGTTGAGAAGCACTGGTCTGGGGCGTGACTGCACACACTTGGTTTTTCTCATAGGTAAGTTTTTCTTTTGATTTCATAAGTTTAAAAAGAATTTTTCTTTTTGACAGATTTTATTAAACTTACTCTGACACTTAAGCATATACTTAGAAAGTTTATAGAGATTTTTATTACATAACAGTTACTTATGACTGAAATTGAGTGTCTTCTTTGGGCCAGGCATTGTGCAAGGACTTGGTGAATAAGAAAAGGTATCTGACCTGCTGGAGCTTATACTAATTATAGGTATGCTGAGTACTGTGAAAAAGAGAGATGGGATAGGTTCTGTGTAATTACACTATGGGGAGCTTATAAACTTATTCTAGCAGTCAGGGAAGACCTCTCCAAAGTAACATTTAAGTAATAATTAAGAACAAATTCAGGGGCTGGGGATTTAGCTCAGCGGCATAAGCGCCTGCCTTGCAAGCAGGCAGTCGTGAGTTCGATCCCTGGTACAGATAAAAAAGAAAAAGACAAAAAAAAAAAAAAAAAAGAACAAATTCAGAAAACAAGTTCTTTAGATAAATTGGACTTTTTTTTTTTTGTACCGGGGAGCAAACTCACGACCTCGCACTTGCCAGGAAGGCACTTACACCACTGAACTAAATCCTCAGCTATAAATTAGACTTTATAAAAATTAAAATCTTTTGTGCATAAAATCACATTATCAAGAAAGTGAAGACAGTTCATAGAATGAGAAGAAAATTTTGCATCACCATGTATCTGATAAAGGTCTACTATCAGAATATGTAAAGAATGTTCACAACTTAACTGCAAAAAAATCTAGTTTAAAAATGGACAGAAAGTAAATAAATAAAAATGAACAGGAGAGGGCCAGGGATGTAGCTCAGCGGCACAGTGCAAGACCCTGAGTTTGAATCCCAGTACCAAAAATAAACAAAAAACAAAAACAGAGGAGAAGCTGAGTGTGGTGGTATACTTTTGTAATCTCAGCACTTATGAGGCTGAGGCAGGAGGATCAGCGTGAGTTCAAGGCCAGTGTGGACTACATAGTTCAAGGTCAGCGTGAACTACTTAGTAAGACCCTGTGTCAAGGGGAACAGAAGATACAGGAAATATACAGATGTTTAAAAAGCACATGGAAATATGTTCATTATTTCTTTTGGAAAATGTAAATCAAGAAGGTGTGAAATACCTCACACCCTGCACATTGAATATAATAAAGAACTTTGGCAGGCGTGGTGGCGCATGTCTGTAATCCTGGCACTCAAGAGGCTGAAGCAGTAGGATTGCTGAGAGTTCAAGGTGGGCTTGGGCTACATAGTGAGTCAAGGACCAGCCTGAACTGCATAGCGAGGCTGTCTCAAAAACCTTTAAAAAAAAAGCTAATTGGAGGTTTTCAGGGAAGGGAGATAGGAAGAGATTATTTAAGAGGTGTAGTGTGCTCTGCGGTGTTGCGGAAGTTGTCTGTTTGAGTTGTGGGGATTGAATCCAGTGGCACCAAGCTGCTGAGCTGCATCCCATGCCCTTTTTATTTTTTGAGATAAGGTCTTGGCAAGCGGCCTCAGCTGGCCTCGAACCTGCAGTCCTGCTTTCCTCTCCAGAGTAGCTGGAGTGACAGTTGTGACCACATGACAGTTGTGAAAAGATTTGGAGTCCAGGGAGTTGGTGGTTGCAGGACATTGTAAATACACAAAATGCCATTGAACTGTGTACTTTAAAATGGTTGTGCATGATAATGGACTTTGCTTCAAAAAATGTACACAAACCTCACCTAATTAAAAACTTAAAAGATTGTATCACCATATAATTTTAACTTGAGAGTAGAGTTATTACAGTTATTATTGCATATAAATGTTTTATAAATTTTGTTAAGTAATTATCAAACAGTAAAGGTGAGGTTTATTTAAAGAAATCTAACCATACAAATTCTTCAAGGCCCATAGTTCATGTGTCCATGGATGACTACTCCGTGGGTAAATATAGGGCTCATATCAGTTATATCCCTGTTTTGTTTAGTACACTTAAGTGCTGAGAGACCGCTTTTATATAAATATGTAGATGCTAATGGAAGTTTTGTTATGGCTGTGTCACTCAGGTCTTTGAGTTATTTCTAAGTCATATGCCAGCAAGCTCACTGGTTCAGTATAAAATTTACTTTCAATGATAAACAGCTGACAACTCAGATTTTCCTGTAATATTTTGAAAAGTGAAAAATTAGAAAACTTCATAATAAATTGGTAATCACTGGCATTATTTACAATTTCCTCAACACACCGGTGTTTCCTATTTGCTCTTATGTTTAGTGTATCAGGGTTTTTATCTGACAGGCAAGTATAAGTGGGTAGGGGACACTAAGGGGAGAAGGACAAGAGGAATTTTCATGAAACAGCCAGAGTGATTTTTGATATTACATATAAAAAAAATGTAACTCTTCAAAACCCTTAAAACTATCTTTCTCATTGGCCTCTTGAAAAATCTTTGTGTACTTTCAGGATGGTCTGCTTCCTCTAAAGTCTTAGGTAAGGACTTTGTAGCCTGATTTCAGCTCTAAGTTTTAAATAGCTTGGAATTTCTGTGCAATGTAAATAGAGACAGGTGGGGGTCTAAAAGCTTTTTGTATTACCTAATTTTATTGAATGTAGATTTTTTTTTGCGGTACCAGGGATTGAACTCACGACCTCACACTTGCCAGGCAGTGCTTATGCCGCTGAGCTAAATCCGTGGCCCTTGAATGTAGAATTAATGCAAAGTTTTTTAAGGCTGATCAGTGACTTCTCTTAGATACTACTTTTCCTAAATTTTTTCCCAGGTCAATGAATGGTCATTGAAGATAAGAAAAGAAATGAGAGTCGTTGACAGACAAATAAGAGGTACATTATCATTCTATGCCTTCTATTCTACAACCTTTTGTTCATTAAAAGAAAACAGTCTATATTATACCTTATTCCCACATTAATTATAATTGTCCTAATTACTTTGCTTTCTAGTTCTATAATCAATATAACAAAGGTAATAAATTAAAAGAAACTTTTGTAAGAACCAAAGAAATTTCTTCCTTCTGAATAAAGAAGTGTCTTTTATGGAGTTTAATAAAGAAATATCTTTTGTGGAGTTCAGACTGAATAAATTGTGCATAAGGGATACAACTCTTTCATTACTCTGTTTGCATATTAGCTTGACTATAAATTGAGGAATATACATTCCTAAATAAAATAGATTTTTTTCTTCTTTTTTTCTTACTGGGGATTGAAGACAGGGCTTTATAGGATTGGGATTCTTGAGGGAAGCAAAACAGCCCTAAGATGATCTTGCTTTATACCTGGAGACACTTTCTGTCCTGTAGCACATAGAAAGTGGCTACAAGCAGAGTTTGGTTGGCTCACTGAATTGAAGATGAATGGTAGTGACGAGCGCACAGTGGTATGAGTGTGTTTACTGTCACCGAATTGTACGCTCACCAGTGAGGGAGAGATACATGGGGCTGCATGCCTGAATCCCAGCCAGGTGGGAGGCTGAGGCAGAAAGACCATGATTGTGAGGCCAGCTTGTACAACTTAGCTTGGTGAGGGAGCGATACATGGGGCTGCATGCCTGAATCCCAGCCAGGTGGGAGGCTGAGGCAGAAAGACCATGATTGTGAGGCCAGCTTGTACAACTTAGCAAGACCCCTTTTAGGGTCTGAGGTTGTAGCTCAGTGGTGGAGCCCATGTGGGGACCTAGATTCAATCTCCAGTACCATGAGAAAAAAAAGAAAAGAAAAGAAAAAAAGAATGATGGTAAATTTTGTTGTATGTATTTTATTACATTTTAAAATTTTTAAATTGAAAAAAAATCCTGTTGACCATACAGCATGTAGTACTGACATATTTTACTTGTAGTCAATGGTAATACAATACTTTTAATGTGTTTATGCTTTCCTTAAGTTGCTGTTCTTTATAAATTTATTGATTATGTTCATTTCATTGTGAGAATGCCACTTATTAGAATAAGCTGTGAAAGGGGCTGGGGATTTAGCTCAGTGGCATAAGCGCCTGCCTTGCAAGCAGGCGGTCGTGAGTCTGGTACCGATAAAAAGGAAAAAGACAAAAAAAAAAAAGAATAAGCTCTGAAATGCATTTTTTTGTTGTTGTTGTTGTTCTGTTTTATTTATTTATTTATTTATTTATTTTTATCAGTACCAGGGATTGAACTCACAACCGCCTGCTTGCAAGGCAGGTGCTTATGCCGCTGAGCTAAATCCCCAGCCCCTGGAATGCATTTTTAAAGCTCCTTAGTACCAGTAACAATAAAGCTTAGAATGGGCTCACAAAAATTGTTTTTGAAATTTTGTCAAATGTTTTGTGATTATGGCTTTCTTTTTCACTCTGAAACTACTTTGATATTTCTGGAAATAATGATTACTCCCCATGCTAAATATTTTTATTGTATTTATATCTTCTAATGTTTTCCTACTTAGTAGATATGTTTCACAGTAAAGAGACTGGGGTTCTGCGAAGTCTGATTTACTCTTGACTTTTGGTGTTCTAAATGTAGATATCCAGAGAGAAGAAGAGAAAGTGAAACGGTCTGTGAAAGATGCTGCCAAGAAGGGCCAGAAGGATGTCTGCGTGATTCTGGCCAAGGAGGTGGTCAGGTCGAGGAAGGCCGTGAGCAAGCTGTACGCATCCAAGGCACACATGAACTCCGTGCTCATGGGGATGAAGAACCAGCTTGGTAAAGTGGCATTTTCCTCGACTGTCACCCTCTATGCTGATGTCACTGTTGTGATCAGTATGGGCTTCCTTGAGTAGTGAGAGCAGATTCAGGTCTGTCCTGTATGTATATACATACAAAGAAATACAAATGGTGGGAATTGAACCATGGACCTTTACATTAAGCTACATCTGAGGCTGGTTTTTGTTTTGTTTTATTGAATTTTGAGAGGGTCTTGCTAAACCTATTGAGCAGGTTGCCCATGGTGGGCTCTAATTTGCAACCCTCCTGCCTCTGCCTCTCAGGGTACTGGAATGACAAGTGTGTCACGGGTTTTTTTTTTCCTTATGCTGTTTTAGTTGGGGTCTTGTGCATATGTAAAATATAGTTATTCTTGTGTTACTGTCAGTAAATTGTTGGTATCTGCACTCAGATGTCTTAAGGTAACATTCATCTGCAAAACTTGATTTTCATTCCTTTCATTTCATTCCAATCACTTGCTCCTCTTCCAGTCTTCCGCATATTTGTAAATAAAACCACCATTCTACCTGATTGCTTTAAGCCAAAAAACTAGTACTAATCTTTAATGTTTTTCCTTTTTTAGCTCTGTCATTCTTTCTCCATATTTTACTTATTGTGGAAGTTTTGGCAGTTTTGCAAATTGTGCCATCGTGGTTCAACGGTCTCCTGCCTGGACTATGGTAGTCTCTTGTTTTCTTGTTTTCTGGCTTTGTGGACTCCTTCAGCTGCAGTGCACCTCACACAGCATCAGATGATCTTCCTTACATGAATACATATGAAGTTACAGTGTTCTATTTAAACACTGTGCCCTTCTCCTTGTGTTTAGATGTGAAGTCAAATTCTTGCTCTGATCTCTTAAGACAGTTGCTCTGACCTCATCTTAAACTATGCTAGCCTTTGTATTCCCAGGGCTGGCAGAGCTTGCTCCTGTGATAGAATCTTTGCCCCTCACCTCTCTGAGTGGGTCGTTTGTCCTTGTCATTCAAGTCTCAGATCAGATGTCAGGCATTCAGTGAGACCCTCTAAGTGCCCCCGTCCCATTTTTATCCTGCCATTCCCTTTAATTTCCTCATACCTCTTATCAGCATCTGAAATTAACTTGTTCAATTATTTTTAACTTGCATGTTGTCTCTTCTCATTAGAACCAGAAACCTTGTATGTGCAGTGCATGACACTGCTCTGTCTCCAAAAACACTGGCTTAGTTAATATTTGCAAAGAAATAAACATGCTAACATGTTCAAGTGATGGTAATTGTTCTCCTCTACGGTACACCTTAATAGAGTAAGTGTAAGCAGAATCCTTTAGCAATTTGAAAAGGTCTATTAGTTTATATGACACATATGGATGATTATACAGACTTCCTAGCGGTAGTGTCACTCGTTCCTGTGGTTACTGTGGGAGTGCAGTCTTTGCGCTGTCTGTATAATTTTGATCTCTTCTTACTTGTAGTGTCAACACTCATTAGACTTACATTGGGATGCAGCGGTTTTGCACGTGTTCTACCTAGAACAGTAAACATACAGCCATGTATGTTTACCCCATGGGGTATCTAAGAGTGCCGAATTCCTTTCAAGGGAATCTATAAGGTCAAACTATTTTCCTAATAATACTAAGATACTTTTTGCCCTTGTCATTATATCAACATTTGTGCTCGATGTGTAAAAAGCATGTGGGAAAACTGCTGGAACTGGACACCAGGCAAGATAGCAGCCCCGAATGTCCTTAGAGTCCCTGTGCCCTTCACTGCCATGTACTCACCACTAAGGGGGAAGGCAGTTGCTTATAAGAACACTTGATGAAGCAGTGAAACTTATTTTATTAAATGTGAGCACATCTTTTTAATATTCTGAGAAATATAATGAAAATTGTGTAATTTTTAAAAAATTTTATTTAAAGAAAGGCTAAACAAAACAAAATAGGTAGAAATAATACATACGTTCAGAGAAAAAAATGCACAGAAATCACTAGTTGATGTTTACATATTGTTGTTTTACAAATAGTTGTTCAAGATACAAAAATGGAACATGTAAAGTGGGAATTCATACAGCGAGACTGCAAACAGTTCTGTTCAACTATCCAACAAAAACGTAGTAACATGGTTGTCCATCCTATACACTTAAACATACATGCAGTTATCCATGTCTTCATTTATGTTTAGATTAAACAAACTAAAGCAAGTTAAAATCATTCTGAATAAAGAATAATAGTATTGCTGGATTTCACGTCATGACACTCCATGATCAGGAAAATTGTGTAATTTTTAAACTAATTTTTCCTTGTCTGACAATGTCAGCTTTCAGAGAGCTGCCTGTTTGAACATTAAATTACTAACACTGTATTTTATTTTTGCAGCAGTAGTTAATAATTCTTTTCTGTATCCTTGCCTTCACTACTCTATGACATACCAAGTTGTATGTATCTGTACATAGGTACATGTCAGTGCATGATAATATGAAGGGAAGATAATGTTATGTCACAGATACAGTTATATTCTTAGATTTTTATGGTTTTTATTTAAAAACAGAGAACAAACATTTTGCTTAGAGGGCAAAGGATAGGTGTTTCCAGCACTTGTTAACTTCTTTATCAGCTAGAATGGAAGAAGAGCCTGTGTTAAGTCATTGACTCTTACGTAGGATTGTAGCCTATTTTGTCATGTTGCTTATTTAGAGGCTCGTGATCCTTCAAGGAGTACATTGGCTTCGAGGAGTCCAATTTGTGACCAAAAACCTGCGTATGATCTTTCAGGCTCAACCATATGCAATTTGAAAAGCCCTACTGGCTGGCCTGCCCCCCGTTCCTGTGCGTCCCCCTGGGAATTCAACCTGCGTTTCCACCTGGATTTCCCCAGGAGAAGAGTTCTGTCCTCTCCCTTGGTGGACCTTTTCATTTCCGGTACTTGTCTCCTTTCCCTTCTTGGATGTTACCTGTGATTTCCTTTCCACTGTTCTCTGTTTCTTTTGAAAGCAGATGGTCTCAGTGAGTTGTTGAATTTCCCAGACTGACCCTTTAATTTTCTTATCTATTCTATTTTCCATTTTGAGGATAATATTAGTTCCTTCCTTGTAGGGTCGTTTTAACCCTTAATTTATTGCCTGGCATATGGTAACTCTCTATGTAGGTATTAAATACTTAACCATCATTATCGTCATCAGTTTTGCCTGTGTTCTACTTTGTGAGACATTTCTTCAATTTGATTTTCTATTTCTTCTCTTGAATTATTTATTTTGGCTACCTTAATTTTTATTTCTAAGAAAATGTTTTGATCTGTTTTTTAAAACAATGTTCATCCTGCTTCTGCTTCATTGATGCAGCAGTGATAGTTTTCTGTGTTTTTCTGTCATTTCACAGAGCGCCTTCTCCCAGTCGGTCCCCTCTTCCCTATCCCTCTCCTCATTTTCTAAGAAAGGGGTAGAGGAAGCTGGTGGCATATGCTCCTAATCCCTAGAGGCTGAGGCAGGAGGATCACTCCAAGTTTGAGGCCAGCCTGGGCTACATAGTGAGTTCAAGGCCAGTCTTAACTATGTAGTGAGACCCTGTCTCAAAAACAAACAAACAAAACAAAACACGGTAAAGAGAGGAAGAAAAGACAGGGAAGAAGCGAGGGAAGAGGCCAAAGAGGCTCAATTAAGTGTAGGCTTTGGTGATGGACTTTTCAGGTGATGGACTGAGCTACAAAGAACAACCCGTGAATTTACCAACTAGTAAAATAACTAAATCTTTTAGTCCTTGTTACGTGCTAGACATATTTGGGTACTGGAACTGAAATTGTGAAGGTTACAGGCTGAGTCACTGCCCTCTGGGTGAGGGGTGGAAAGCAAATAATGGAATAAACTTAATAAGAATCAAAATAACAAATTTACCAATCCAGGAAATACAGATATTATGGTTGCAAACAGATCCACACACCGGGAGATGGTAAAAGGGAAGTGCAGAATCAAGGAGGCTCCTCCGAGGCCGAGGAAAGCGTGAGGAGCTTGAGCTGTCGAGTCCCCGTGTGGGGTTCTAGCCTGAGCGCCCGGCGTGGGCACAGGTGTGGGGTCACAGCTAGCGCAGTGCTTCACAGCACCATGAGGCTGGGCCACTAAGGAAAGGGGCTGGGGGGACCAGGTGACTTTTTAAAGCTGTTAGGAGACACGGGTTGTCAAGCCAAGGTCAGAGAGCCACGCTGCAGCGACGATGGAGATGCAGGGTGTTCCGAGCTCACCACCAGGACAGGGGAAAGAGGGGGGCATCTGAGCAGAGGGATTAAGAGCACAGAGGCGGTGACATGTTTCAGGCTGAGTCAGGAGGCATGTGACAGGCACATTAAGAGGAGTGGTGGGAGGGAGGGCTGGAAAGGTAAGTTGGAGCGAAGTTCTGAGAGTTCTGCTGAGGTATTTAATTCCTGCCGTAGGCTGTGGCGAGCCCTGGCACCTGGTGGGTGCAGACTGCCGGTGCGGGGAGACTGCTGTTGCACGATGTGAGGGGGGCTCGAGGGGTCACCGTGTGGGTCCTGATGGGGTGGCCTCCTTAGGAGGAAGTGGGAGCAGGGACACTGACAGTGCCTGCAAGGGGGGCTTGAGATGCTCTGTGCTGTTAATAAAAGGCGCTGAAACCCCCTGCGGGAAACAGACCTAAGGCGGGAAGGAGGCTGCTGGGCTGACCACACTGGCTCTGTGAGACCCCTGGCTATTTAGCTCACCCTGTTCCCCAGCACCTACACACAGTGCTGGCAGGGAGGACCCAGAGGGTGCTCAGAAGATTTATAGTGGAGTGGGAGATTAAATACAGCAGGAAGGATAACAGGACAGGGCCTGGGGAGACGGCAGAAGGGAGGAGAGGGTGTGTATTCTGGGGAGTGGAGAGAGAGAAAACCAGGACTAGTGTAATCAGAGTTCCTGAGAAGTCTTTGTTCCGCGTGGCCCTCAGTGTCCCCTACCCATGTCCCAACCCTAGCCTGTGGCTGCCTTCTGGATGTCCTTTCCCTTAAGGTATTCTATTAAAATGCATATGCTCTGAGGAGGGGAAATTTGGTAGGCCTTGTTGGCTATTAATATGCTGTCATGATTACATGCTTTGCAGGTGACAGCTCACTGACAGCAGCTCCTTGCAAGAAAAGACAGATGATGAGCGTGTTTTGACTGAGGGACAGAATTAGAGGAGAGGCTCAAAGGTAGGGCAGGAATAGAATTACCCTGTGATCCAGCAACTGCACTTCGTACCCACAGGAACTGAAAGCAGAGACTCGAACATCCAGTTTGTACAACCATGATCCTAGCACTATTGTCAGGAGCCAAAGGGTACAGGCAGCTCAAGGGTCTTGACTGTAGCCAAGTAGTGACTGCGGTCACCTTGCTGCAGTAGATCTCAAAAACAGCTCTTCCTCCTTGTGGAAGTTGGTACCCATTGATCAAAAACTCTCCATTTCTTCCTTCCCCATACTTTTGGAAATTGTCAGACCCCTCGTTTTCGGTTTCCATGCTCCTGAATTCATTAGATTTTACATACCAAGTTAGAGCCTACAGCATCTGCCTTCTGTGTCTGCCTTATTTTACCTAGCACGGTGTCCTGTAGATTCATTCATGTTACAAATGACAGGGTTTCCCTTTTCTTTGTGTATATCACATTTTTTTTATCCATTCATCTGTTGGTAGACACTTAAATTGTTTCCATTGTCTTTTTAAATTTTTGTACTGGGGATCAAACTCAGGACCTGGAGCTTGCCAGTCAGGTGCTTATGCTGCTGAGCTAAATCCTCTGCCCTGTTTCCATTGTCTTTACTTTCTTGTTGTTGGGACAAGATACCTGATATACGTAAGTTAGAGAAGGAAAGGTTTATGTTAGCTCACAGTTTGTAGAGGTTTCAATCCTTAGTTGACTTCAAGACAGAGTGGTATGGTAGAAGGACATCACAGAAACAGTTCATGGCGTGGCAGGCAGGAAGTGGTGAGCCTTCCTTCTTCTTTCCCTTTTTATTCCATCCAGGCTGCAAGCCTATTGGCTGGTGCCATACACTCCCAGGGTGGATCTTCCCTTTTCACTAAATTCATCAGAACTGTGCTAAACCAGTCAGTGGAAGGACTGGGCTAAACCTGTCAGCAAGATAATGCAGGATTGTGCCCACAATCCAGTAACTCCCCAAAGTCCCACCTACAAGCACATGGATGAGGGGGCTGTAGATACAAGCCACAACACCAACCATCTTTTGGTTATATGAACAGTGCTGCAGTGAACAGGGAGTTAAGCTCTCCTTCTTGATAGAATGGTTTCAGTTCCTTTGTATACATAACCTAGAAGTAGGATTACTAGGTTGATGCTAGTTTCTCGTTCCTTGAAGACCTCCATAGAGTTTCCCATAATGGCTGTACTAATTCACACTGCCTTAATAAATATACCTCCTTAGTTTTGGTTTTGTTGGTTATTGTAGAGGAGATTGTATCTTTTATTTCCTTTCTGAGTAGTCCATTATTAGTGGATAGAAACTACTGATTTTTATGTTGATTTTATATTCTGCAACTTCACCATATACATTAATTAATTCTAATAGTTTTTCATGGAGTCATTAGTGGTTTTAATTTTTTTCCTGCCTAGTGTACTGGTCAGTTCTTCCAAAACTGTGTTGGAAAGAAAGTGTCCATCTTTGTTTTGTCCTTGACCTTAAAGCAAAGCTTTTAGCTCTTCACCATTGAGGGTGGTGTTAGCTACAGGTTTATTATATATGACCTTTGTTTGTTTTGAGGTACATTGTTTAGAGTTTTTATCATGAGAGGGATGCTTTTCCTTTATCTATTGAGATGGTCATATGATTTCTATTGTTCATTTTTTAAGTAGTATATCATAGTTATTGTATACACTGAACTATCCTTGTATCCAAGGGATAAATCCTAATTGATTATAATGAATGATTCTATTAATGCATTCTTTTTTTAATGTATTCTTGACTTTACTAATACTTTGTTGAGACTTTCTGCATCTGTGTTCATTGGGGATATTAGTTTATACTTTTCTTGTAATATAAAACTAAGTTGTTGGATAGCAACTACAAATTGCCTTTAACTACATATAAAAACTCTATACCTTTATTTTTTATTGCTAACAGTTATGATTTTAATGTCAAAATTTACAGTCATTTTTGTATTTTGTATCTCTTAACAGTTTATTGTAGCCAGAGTTACAAGTTGTGTGTTTAAACATTGCTGGTAGGACAAAATCGCTTTACATACCACTTAACAAAGTTAGAGAATTTTGAGTATGCGTGTTATGTTTACCATTAAGGTTTTTTAATTTTCATGTGTTTTGTTATTAATTAGCCTTCTATTTAAGCTTAATGAATTTCCTTTAGCAGTTCTGTAAAGCAAGGCTTTACCTTCCTTAGCTTTTGTTTAAGAGTTTTACCTCATTTCTGAAGGACGTTTTTGCCAGGTAAAGTATTCTTGCTGGGCAAGGTTTTTTCCCCCACTTTGGTCCTTTGAATACCTCCTCTTTTCTCTTGCCTGGAAAATGTCCGCTGAGAAAGCCTTTGAGGGCCGTATTGAGGCTCCCTTGAATGTGATGTTTCTTACTCCTCCTTTCTGTGTCTTCATGAACTACGCTTTGGGGTGAATTTGATTAGTGACTTCTGAGCTTTCTGTATTTAAATGTTGTCATGTTTTCCCAGACTTGGGGAAATTTAAGCCATTTTTTTTCCCTAAAATACGCGATAGACCTTTTTTTTCCCTGTCCTTTGAAATTCCTATTGTGCAAAGGTTTATTCACTTGATGTTCCCAAAAGACTTCTGCATTCTTTTTTATTCTTTTTCTCTTCTGAGTGAATAATTTCAGATGTCCTGTCTTTGGGCTTGCTGATTTCTTTTTTATGCTTGATCAAATCTGTTCTTGAAGCTTTTTGATGAATTTGTCATGTTTTTATTGTATTCTTTCCCTTTAGGATTTCTTTTTACTGTTTCTGTGTCAAACTTATTTGTTCATTAATTATTGTCTAAATTTCATTTAATTTTTCTATCCACATTTTCTTCGAGTTCTCTGAATTCTGTGAGGATGTGTCTGAATTGGTTGTCAGTCACTTTCAGATCTTCATTTCTTCTGGTTCTGTTCCTGGGGCTTAGTTTCTTGCTTTTGGCAGTGGTATGTTTCCTTCATTTCTCACGTTTCTTTTGTCCTTGTGTTGATGCCTGCACGTTTTAGAAGATGGCCACGTCTTGCCAGTCTTTGGTAGTGAGAGGCCTGTGCAGTTTAGCTGGAGCTCCTGGGTGACTGGCTGGTAGCACAGCACCGGCAGTCGTTGGGTTCTTTAGTTGGAGCGGGTCACTCTGCTCTGAGGTTGTGTGTACCGTGTGGTTCCCTGAGAGACGGGCAGGACCCTGCTGTTGAGGCATCTGGCTGGACTCTGCACTGTAGGCTTTTTCCTGGCTCTGTGCTGTTGTTGCTTGGAAGCTGTAGTTGGGCCAGGACATATGACGGGCTCTGTCATAGTCACTTGATCATCGCTGAGACACAGTACCTGATACCTGGAACTTAAAGAGGAGAGACTTACTTTGTCTCACAGTTCCAGTCCTTGGTCAGCTGAGTCCAAGGCAGAAATGGCCCAGTGGGAAGAGTAGCAAAGGAAAGCTGTTCAACCCTATGGCAGCCAGGAAACAGGAATGTCTCCAGGGATCAGAACACGCCCTTTCAGGTTACACCCCGTGACCACCTGCAGCTGGCTCCACTTCTGAGATCGGGTCAGCTCTAATGGCCCCATCACCCAGTCACATTGTGGAAGCCTTGCCTCTGAACATATGAGGTTTGGGGGAAACATTTTAGATCTGAACCATACCAGGCTCCAAGGCTGGGTGCGGTCTCTGGAATTGCTACTCAGCTGCACGGAGGGCAGGGCCAGAGACGATGCTTCACCGATATATGATGACCTGGACTTGCCTCTCAGCCAGGGTCGGCTAAAGCAGGGCTCCCGCTGGGGTAGGGCAGCAGCCAGTGCTCCCACTGTGAACCTGCAGTGTTACCTGGGCAGAAGACTTCAGGTGAGCAGAACTTAGCTGGACCACCTTTCCGCAGCTTGTTGAGCAGACACAGGTACTGTGTCTGCAGTTGTTGGCTGGAAGGCTTACTGAGCTCTGCTTGGGTAGCCAAAGTGTGGCCCTTACAAGGGTGAGAGCCATGCTCCCATTCATGACTTCTTGTCCCTGGATGTCAGTTACTGAGTGGTCAGCCACAGACCCAGGCCACAATCCAGATGGGTCATTGTTGTGGATGCTCGAGAATTCATCCAGAGGTAGCCTAAGTGGCACACAACTTAGAAAAATCAGTCTCTTTTCTGTCTAGCACAAAGACATATTCTGTATGTTAGGACATGCCGCTCCCATTCTCTTGTGTTGAAGTGGCTCACAGCTGGGGTCTCTCCTTATTGCGGCCCACTGAACAATCCTTCCCTTTCAGCGGTCCTGCGAGTGGCCGGGTCCCTGCAGAAGAGCACTGAAGTAATGAAGGCCATGCAGAGTCTCGTGAAGATCCCAGAAATCCAGGCCACTATGCGGGAGCTGTCCAAGGAGATGATGAAGGTGACCTGGGCTAGCCCTGTTCCTCCCAAACACTGAGCATCCCTCTCAGCAAGTGGTGGGCGCTGGGGTGGGGTGAGTGGGCGTAGCTCACACTGCGGCTGCTGTGTGAGATGGTTTTGAAGATGGGGAGCAGCTGTTAGCTCTGGCTGAAATCATTTTCAACTAGAGCGTGGCAGAGGCTTGGAGGGACCGTGACATATTCCTACATGTATACCCAGAGCTGGGGAGAGGGTCGGGAACCCAGGGAGTGATCACTGAGGGCTCAAGGAGATGGGATTTGCAGGTGCTCATCTCATACAAGCAAGGAGACAAAAGAAACCTTGGTTCCATGCTGTTTCCCAGGGGAATGTTTGTGAAACTGGCAAGAAAGGTCAGGCTAGGCCAGGCGTTGGCAAACATGTTCTGTAAAATGCTAGAGAGTAGGTACTTTTTATGCTCTGTGGCCTGCATGTCTGTCATGATCACACAATTCTGCTCAATAGTGTAAAATCAGCATAGGTAATACTTAAACAAGCGAGCATGACCCACAGTACTTTACAGAAACAGGCAGCAGGTCACACTTGGCCCTGTAGGCCGAGTTTGCTGGCCCATTGTAAATTAAAAAAAAAAACAGCTAAAAAAAGGGAGAGTGAAACCAGGTGTGGTAGCACACACCTATATAGTTCAGGTTCATGGGTGATTCAAACAGGATGGTCACCAGTACAAAGCCAGCCTGGGCTATGTAGTGAGATCCTGCCCCCAACCACCACCAAAAAAAGGGGAGCAACTGAGAATCAAGTAAAAAGCGCACAAACACTGCCAACCTCAGGATGAGGGTCTGGCAGGGATACTAATGGCATTCGGCCAGGGACAGGGATACAGAGGCACTGTTACCGAGCCCTGCGGCTGATGGCACAGTGCTCGGTCGGTCCTGTCCAGTTCCCTCAGCCACCCCTTTCCACACAGAAGGAAACTTAAGTCTCCGAGCTGACAGGCAGCTTACCGAGCTCACCTGGGTTGATGGGGACGAGCTGGAGCGCAGGTGTGTCTGACCGTAAATTGAGCGGCCACAGAGGAAGTGGGAAGGGCTTCTTTGCACAGGTGTTGGTTCATGTTTCGACCCTAGGGCCTGACAACCAGAAGTGTGTACCTCACTTTCTAGTGTGCAGAAGTCCTCTCCCCTGGAGGGAATTTCATCTGTAAATTTGAATTATTATAGCGGATATGGGGCATGGGAGAGAGGGGCTTCAAAAGAAAATCAGTAGAAGAGAAAAACACCATAAAAAGCCCAGGGCCCAGATCTCTGGAATGAGAACTTCTTAGGCAGCAGCCGTTGGATGGGAGCAGGGTCAGGAAATGGCAGCAAATGCCTGTAATTCCAGCAGTTGGGAGGCTAAAGCAAGAGAATCACAGTTTCAGAGGCAGCCTGAGCTACACAGAGAGATCCTGTCTGAAAGAGAGACAGGGGCGGGGGAGGAAGGGAGAGAGATGGAGAACCACACAGAGAGCGCATGAATGCCTGCCAGCCTCAGGGCCGGGGCCTGGCCTTTAAAGTATGTTCTTTAAAGTAGTGTGTATCCAGGTTGGCGATGATGACGCATCTAGAACTGGATTCTCGGGGAGGACTTCCGCCTGCTCGTTGTAACTCGTGTAGGGAAAGCTGTTTTTAGAACAGGGATGGCCATACTGCAGAGCAGTTTGTGAAGACTGACAGAAAGCCAGTAGAGACCTAGTGGGTGCATCTGTGATACGTCCCTGGGCACGCACAAAGCCTCCGAGGGGCCCAGCTCCTCGCGAGCAGGCACTTGATCTTGGTGATTCCATTTGGCCCCATTGCCTGCCCTATGGGGCAGAGAGAAGGAATTTGATGAATGCTTGCTGACTGAATGAATAAACAAGTGAATGCCGACTTCTACCTCTAGAATGTGAAAGGTTATTACAGTTGGGCTCTGTTAATAAATATGTATTAACCCTTTTACCTATGTTCAGCTAGGCCTTAGGGGTCCACCGGGGTGACCGTGAATGTGACTTTATGTGTGCATTTTGATTAGCAGGAAATGTCTGGCAGTGAGAGGAATACGGTGCTGTGCTAGATTCCTGTTTCCCCAACCTTGGTGCTGAATTCGGAGGGCCATTTCTCGTGGCCTGGTCTTTCTGAAGAGAGGGCAGTACCCAGTGTTCCCTTTGGCTGCCTGTCTTGGCTGCCATCCTGAAAAGGGTGGGCTGGACGTGGAGAGACTGGCGCTCCTTCTAGCTGGTGTGCAGGAATGTCTGAAGTAAACATAGTCAGTGGAAGTGATGTTTATTCTATGTTTAGGCTGGGATCATAGAAGAGATGCTGGAGGACACTTTTGAAAGCATGGACGATCAAGAAGAAATGGAAGAAGAGGCTGAGATGGAAATTGACAAAATCCTCTTTGAAATTACAGCGGGTATGACCCTTAGATTCCTCCGGCTTCTTCCTTTTGTGGGCCCTTATTTGTGCATTTACTGAAATACCCATTTGCTTTATGTTTTAGGCTGTAACTCTCCTCCATTTTCAGATTTTAGAGTATGTGAGTTATTTCTTAAAAAATAAGCACAATGTAGCTGTCTTCTAAAGTTTCCATGATGATGATGAGGGGGAGTGTTATTTTCATGCCCTGCCATTGGGACTTTCTTGAAAGCAGTCTGGGAGAAGCTATCAAAAGCCCTGGTGCTAGCAGATTGACTTCTGCCCGTCATTTGCTCTAATAAATTAAGGTGTGCTGAAAGACAGATGGACAAGGGTGGCTACAGTAGCATTATTTCTAATACTGAACTTTTGAAACAAAGAAAATGCCGAATACTGGAATATTGATTGAATTAGTTGTGCTATGTCTATTTTAGTAGTATACTTTGTAACCTATACAAAATTACACTCATTGACATGGAGAGATGTCAAAAATATATCATGTGAAAAAAGTCTTATACACACTTTTGTGTAAAAGTAATAATAAAAAGCGGCCCAGAGGGACTGCTTTTGTACACCAGTGGTTCAAGCTGCCCAGCATGAGAATATGAATTATGGCCCCATCATGAACGTGTTAATAAAAATGATAGAATTTGGGGCTGGGGTTTAGCTCAGTGGCAAAGCGCCTGCCTTGCAAGTGTGTGGTCGTGAGTTCGATCCCTGGTACCGATAAAAAGGAAAAAGACCAAAAAAAAAAAAAAATGATAGAATTTAATTTTTGTTTGTTAAAGGTATTCCAAAAGTATTTTTTGTAAAGGTTGAGAAACAATGTTTTACTCATAGGGTAAAATTAAATTATCAGCAGTATTTAGGAATTTGGGAGCGTCTTCTGTTTCAGAGATGGGGTCTTCCTATGTTGTCTAGACTGGTCCTGACCTCCTGGGCTCGAACTTCCTCAGTTTCCCAGGTAGCTGGGACTGTAGGCTTGTGCCACCATAGCCAGCAGAATCAAGGCCCACGATCCTTAAAGTCCTTACCATTACGTGCTATCACCTAGAGCCTACTGTGATAGCACAAGCCTACAGTCCAGCTACTCAGAAGGCTGAGGCAGAAGGATTCCTTTAGCCCAGGAGTTCAGGACCAGCCTGGGTAACAGGGTGAGAACCCTGCTTCAACAATACTTACTATAACTTGGATATTGTGACAAGTTGCTATGAGCCTTTATCCTTGTGAGCAAAATGCCACCAAAACAGTTTGTTCCCTACCTGGCTTTGTGTCTTGTTGGGTTCTCCCAGGAATGAGAGGCAGGGAGGCCCGAGGGAGCTCTCCCTTCACCACTGCGTTGTTAACCTGTTCCTTCTCGTTCCGTTCAGGAGCCTTGGGCAAAGCACCCAGTAAAGTGACCGATGCCCTTCCAGAGCCTGAACCTTCAGGAGCAATGGCTGCCTCTGAGGATGAAGAGGAAGAGGAGGCCCTGGAGGCCATGCAGTCCCGGCTGGCCACACTCCGCAGCTAGGGCCCCGCTCTCTGCCGGCATTCGAGCACTCGGAAGAGGGCCACGTCCTGTGTCTCTTGCACTACACCTGTCATGAGGCGTTGCATTTGGGAGAAGGTTCTCTGCTTATCTCTCTTCACTCTCTGCAAGGTTTTGAGATCTTAAAGGGATTGTTCTTAGGAAGGTGGTGTGATTAAATGCATCATTTTCAGGAATATAAACAGAAATATTGGGGAAAGCAGAGAAATGGAAGCAATTCTAAGAACAGAGTTGCCTGAATGTTGAGGACTCTGCATTTGGGGGGTGGGTGTAAAACACTGTATAAATGGATTTTAATAAATTTCTGCTTTACCATTTAGTGCCATTGTAGACTGTCATGTGCAGTGGACTCTCGCGATATTGCTGTCCTAGACTCCTGTGTTGGCCTTGGGAAAAGAGGAGGGGCTGTAGCCAGGCATGTGGGCCTTGGAAACTCACAGAAGAGGCTTCTGTGCTGGATGGCTGCTCTCCAGCCTGCGCAGACGGGAGCTGCTTCTCTGCATTTCATCATCCTGGAGCCAGAGGACACTGGGAAGTGTGCCCTTTGTCCTGATGGCTGGGTGACCAGTTATAGATGGATGTCTTTGCAGCTCTGATCCCTCCCATCTCATTGCAAGTTGCATGCAGAACAGACAGCTTTGGGGTGAGGCTCTCTCACCTCTGATAGTCTGCCCGCTTTAGCACGCTCATCTTGTGTGTAAGCCATGGGCTGACCCATCAGCACCTCCTTAAAGTCAGAGCTGACCTGTGAGAGGTAAGGTGTGCTTATGCATCCTAACCAGCACTCACACCTGAGATCCTCCTAAATACATTTTTAAATAATCCCACAATAGCACTTTATTTTTGTATGTGTTCGATGGTTTACAGAACTCTGACACAGGTGGTCTCATATCACAAGTGAAGAAAACCACTCAGCTTACTGAGATGACGTATCTTCAGTCATGCTCAGGAAGCGCCAGATGTGGGGTTTGGCCCTGGATCCCCGACCCAACTCCTGCATGCACTAAGCCAACCAGGCAGGAAAAAAGACCAGGCCCCAACAGGAGGGCTGGTGCAACATTGTACAAAACAGGTCCTAAATACAGAGTACCTGCCCTTTACCATTGATCCCAGGAGCAGGGCATCACTGTTTATGTTTTAAGTACATTTTTAGGTTCACAGCAAAATGAAGCAGAAAGATTTCCCAGACACTCCTTCTCCCAACACATGCACAGCATTGCCACTGTCAGCATCCCCATCAGAGTGGGACATTTGCCACATTTGCTACCTCCACATGGATGTGGCGTCATCGCCCAGAGTCCATAGTTTATGGCCAGAGCCACTGTGCTCGTGCACTCACGGACAGTGGCTGTAACCACCAGTACGGTAACATGCCCTTAAAATCCTCTGCACTCTGCTTGTTCAGCCTTCCTGTCCCCTAATTCTCTGGTGGCCTTTTTACTGTCTGCATAGTTCGATCTTCTCTAGAATGTTGTATCACTAGAATCAGTGCACAGTCTTTTCTGACTGGCTTGACTCAGTGATACATATTTAAGGTTCCTCCTTGTATCTGTTCATGACTTAGTAGTGGGTTCTTTGTAGATGCCGAATTAGTATTCCATTGTCTGGGCGTACGGTAGTTTATCACCTGGATAAATACCAAGGAACTCAGCTGCTTTTCTGTGTGATGAGCATATGTCTAGTTTTACAAGGCTGCCAAACTGTCTTCCAAGTAGCTGGACCTTTATGTTCCCTGCAGCAGTGAGTGAAGTCCCCTGTGCTCTACACCTTTGCCAGTGTAGTGTTCCAGTATTCCAGACTGTGTTGCCATTCTAATAGTATATATTAGTATCTCATTCTCTAATGACATATAATGCTGAACATCTCCTCATACACTTGTCATCTGTGTGTCTTCACTGGTTCTGGTATTCGGTTTATTTTCTTTTAAACTTATTTTTTATGATTATTGAATTTTAAATTTTGAATAGCAATCACTTGTCAGATCTTTTACAAATATGTTATACCAATCTCTGGTTTGTCTTCTTACTCTCCTCATAGTATCTCAGAGTAGTTTTATCTTTATTGAAACCCGGCTTATCAGCTATTTCTTTCATGCATTCTGGTGTTACATTCAGAGACACTACCAAACCCAAGGTCATCTAGCTTTTCTCCTGTATTATTTTCTAGGAGTTAATGTTTTACGTTTAGATCTGTGTTGCAGTTTTAACCTAAAATGTCCCCCACAAGTCTCATGTATTTAGAGGTGGGACTTCTGTAAAGTGATTGGACCATGGGGGAGCTGTACTTACGGTAGATCAGAGCCCAGCCTTGCATTCGAGTGTCCTGGTAGGCGGTGGAGGCTGATTGGAGGTCAGTCACTGGCTGTGACCTAGAGGGGTGTACACTTCTCTCTGGTTCCCCCAGTCTCTCTCCGCCTTGCCCGTCTTGCCTTGGAGTCAGCAGCCATGGACCAAATGCTCTAAAAACTGTGAGCCAAAATAAACCTTCCTTCTTTTAAGTTGTGGGTGTTGTGTATTTTGTTGCAGTGACAGAAAACTAATAACAGTTGTAATCCATTTTAATTTTCATGAAAGACGTTAAAATTGTATAAATTTGTATTTTTGCATGTGGATGTCTGGTTCAGCATTTGTTGAAAAGGCTGTATTTTTTCTACTGTATTGAATTTATTCGTTTGTCAAAGCTCAGTTGTGACTGCATTTGTGTGGGCCCATTTCTGGGCTTACCTGTTCTACTGGATTGATCTGTCTGTTCTTTTCAGCAATTCCAGTGTCGTTTTTTTGGTTGTTCTTTTTGAGACAAGGTTTAACTACACAGTTCAGGCTGGACTTGCACTAGCAGCAGTGCCCCTGCCTCAGCCTCCCAAGTGCTGCAACACCAGTGTCTTTAATGGCTGTATTTTTGTAGTTCTTGAAGCTAGACAGTGTCAGCCCTTTGACTTTGTTCTCTTTCAGTATTATTCTGGCTATTCTGGGCTTTTACCTCTTACAAACTTTAGAATCAATTTGTTAAGATACATAAAGTAACTTTCTGGGGTTTTTATTGAATTTGCCCTGAATATAGAGATCTAGTGGAAAAACTGACTTATTGACAATGACGTAATAGCTTTATGATATTAATATAGCCAGCTTCTTCCCAGGATGATGTTGGGATACACAAAGCCGATAAGCCTTGCACATGTTGTATTTGGATATCAAACTTTATCCACATGGATGGTTGGCCAACCAGATAAATAATGACCCTGTCTAATCATGCAAGTAAAATGATCTAAACTAAGAGTTCATTTTAGTTTTTGAACAGGTCATTTTTCCTCTATTCCTTCTTTCAGACTAAAGAGAGTAAAACTTGCTCATTATTTGTGTGGTGTATTCTTTTATCCCCTCATGTGCTTTGTTGGTTATTTGGAGACAAAGTGCGTCAGATTCTATTTTAGCCCTACATGGAAGAGTCTATAGTGTGGAAGGCAAACAGACTGTGCAGACCTGCAATAGAAATTTTCCTCTGTTCTTAGGTGATCAAACTGTGTAGGGCAGCAGCAGCACCAGCTTCCACCAACCTCTCCTCTTCCTGTTCCCCCAGGATCTGCCTGCTCCCCCATAAAACCACGCACTAAGCACCTGTACCATTCATTTTGTTTTCCCAAACCTGCTTACTGTTTTAGAAACCGCTTGCCTGCCTGCAGACATCACCCAGGACCTGCCTCCTCCTCTGTTCCCAGGTCTTCCAGGAAAGATGCCTTCCTGAGCGCTTACCACTAGCCCTGCAGCTCACCTGGCCTTTGCACTCTTGTGTATTTCCAGATGTTTACCTTGGAATTTCTGAAGCAAAGGGGACTAGTATTCATTCTCGAATAGCACTGATCACACCTGCCCTGTGCCTCCTAACTAGAGTCATGACAGCTATGAAAGAGCACAGTTTTGAAGCTTTGAAGAACTGAGACCGTTTTTCCTTATTTTAACCTAACCTTGTGACAAGTGGTCTTTAAATGCCAATCTATATTGCCAGTTAGAAAGGATCTAACGTAAGATATGCTTGGAAAATGCTGGATTAAAATAACATAAAACAGGCGTCTTTACAGCTTTCCAGTCTCTTCATACACTCTTTTCAAATTATTTGATCAAGATAATCTTTTGAAATAGCAGAATTAATACCCTTCAGTCACTAACCCAGGTTTAGAAATGCCACTGTCGGGAAATAACTTTTTTTAGGGTAAGAAAGTTCTCTTCACATAATTATAATTCAGAAATGTATTGACAGAATGATTTCAGTATGATGGTGAAGCACAGTCCACACACCCATCCCTCCAGAGAAACCTGGAAAAGACAACCGGAAACCATTAGAATCCAGTTTTTAGAACTCGGGAAAACAGAAGATTGTAGCAACCAAGCAAATGTTGAATTAAGAAGGAAGAAACTTTAAAATGATTGGAAAAGTTGGTGGCACTTTCACATGCCCTGCCCACCTCCTGCCCAGCCTGGGAGCTGGCCGGTAGCAGCCCACATTCTCAGGACCACGTCTCCGACTCCCAGAAAACAAAGTAGACCTCACTCCCAAATCACTGGGCTTGTCTGCCTTGGCCTGTTTGAAGAACTAACACAGGAGCAACCGAAACCTCTTTGTGTGCCTAACTCACAACCCACTGGGCAGAAAAGCAGCAGGCACTGCTTGAAAACACTGGAGACCCATTAAAAATAATAAAAATGTGAGCCTACCTGAGGGGATAGCGTACAGTTAAATAACTGCTTTAAACATGGGAAGATAAAAGAAAACCATGGAAAATGAACTAAAAGAAACCAGGGAAACACAATGAATGAAATGAGAAAATAAAGAGGCAAATTATAACATGGTGCCACATGGAGATCTGACAGTGGAAATGTACAGCAGAGTCCTAGTGAACCACAGAGGCGTTCAGCAGGAGATGGGAAGAGGCAGCAGCAAACTCAGAGAACTTGAAAATAGAATAAGTGGAAAACAATCTGAAATATAAAGACAGATGAAGAAAAGCAAACACAACTTAAGGAATTTGGGAAAATCATGAAGCTCACTGGTATATGCATCATGGCAGTGCTAGAAGACAAAAAAGACATTTGAAAAATGACTAGATAGCTCCCAAATCTGAGAAAGTTCACTGAACAAGCTCAAATCCCTAACAGAACTGAAATGAACTGAAGTGGATCCACATTAAGACTCTTGATAGCAAATCACGGGAAGTAGAAGACAAAGAATCTTTAGAGGAGCAAAGAGAAATGACTCACCATCCACAAGGGCCCCTCAGTAAGATTCACACACACTGTCTGATCACAAACCAAGGCAGTGGCACAA